GTGCATGGAAGGAAAGATACTCGTGTAAGAGGGCGCATAGGGCTGCGCTTTGCGGCCCCGGAAGGTTGCCCGTCGTAGGGAGAGGAATCCAAGCTAAGTCCTCGGGCGTGAGCGGGTCCAAAGCCTCCTCGTTGAACACGCTTGCCGAATCCCTTGATGAAGACCAACTGGCGGAAGAACCTTCGGACGGTGAGAGAGCCGCACATGTATCTTGTCCTTGAGAAGCATCCAGTGAAGGAACGAGCCGGGCAGCGAAGTCTTCGACCGAAAGTGGAAGACTCTCAACATCCGCATATGCCTCAGAAGAAAGGGCGGTCGTGCGCACAACCGCTTCCGATGGCGTCGAGGGAGGTGTCGAGTCACCCTCGGCGGCGCCTACTTTCCCTGACGGGGTTTCCCCTTGGTGGGGCAATGTGCAGCATCGTRGATCGTGCTGTTGCACCAAAGGCAGTAATGGTACTTGAGTCTCGTGCGATAAGAATTCGCCGAGAGTCCGTATTGTGCCCAAGGTTCGTCGGCGGCTGATCCGGTGCTCGGTGTAGAGGTGGACTGAGTCTTCGTCTTGTCGCGGCCGTGATTGTTGCGCGGCCGGCCACCATCCCCGGCAGCTGCCAACACTTCACCCTCGTTTGGTGTTGCAGCCTTAGTAGAAGTAATGCAAGCCACCTTTGGCTTGGGCTGGGTGCCGCTCGTCGTCGCGGAAGATCGGCCGGCATTGCGAGCTTCGATATTCGTGAGAATGATTCGTGACGATGTGCTGAAAAGCTTGTCAGATGTGTCGAGTGTCTCTGCAATCTGCGTCAGCGTGTTTTGCAGAGCTCGACACGAGCACATGATAAACAAATGCTTGATGGCGCGGAATGCGAGCGGCAGGTCAGGTATGGAGGCGAGTCTTTGGAACTCGGTAATCCAATCCTGACTGAGCAGCGTGTTCTGATGGAGCTTGTTGAGCTTGTCCATCGCTTGCAGGTCGGGCGGCTCCACTTGGAATCGCTTGTGCCAGGCGTCAGTCAACTCCTACCAAGTGAGCTTGGTGTGCAGTTCCGACACTGCTACGCCKTGGCTGGTCAAGATGTTGTCCAGCCATGCTTGACATGCACCACCAGATCGGTGGTACAAGCACGGATGTCGATCGTTGTTCGGGACATGATGCATGTCGAGCCTGAGAGTGAACTGGCGCCACCACGGGATCGGTTCCGTCTTGGACTGATCGCACAAGACGGGAATGTCATCCAGCTTGGGTGGGCGCCGGGAGGATGCGGCCGCGGGCGTTACGGTGGCAGCAGCCTGGACCTGCGTCTCCAACTGCAAGTTCGTTGCTTGCTGCAACGTCCTGAAGTCCTGATGTACCCGCTTGATATTGCTGACGTCGTCCTCCAAACCTTGCACGCGGGTGGTAAGGTTGGAAGGCCCTGCGGCTGCTACAGCAGCTGGCTGTTTCTCCAACGCCTGCAGCCSTGCGAGCATCTGGTCCACTGTCTGCTGCAGGTGAAGGATTTCCTCCTGYTGCAGAGCGCAGGTGGCCACGAGGTCGTGGGAGACCTGCGCAAGGGCTGACAGCCCTTTCTCGGTCTCCGGGGCCCCATCTGCAGATGCCATTTCCACCCAATGTGCAGTCTCATCGCCGATCACGGTCTCCCGTGTAAACAGTCGTTGTCGCTGGCGTGACCGGTGTTCGGCTGCCGCCTGCAAGTCTGCCTCCTCTTGACGAAGTCGGTCCTGTTCCTCCTTCTGTCGCTTGGCCTCCTCCACTTGTTCGATCTGACTGCGCTCCTTGGCCGCGGCGGCGGCCCTATCCGTGGCCTCCTGGATGAAAGCAGCCAGGCGTTCCTCATAGGCCAGGAGGGATTCTCCCGCCTTCCGGTCCATGGCCTTGGTCTGTGATCGAGTGAGCGGTGGCATGCACTGACGTGCCCGAAGTCTGAAGAGTCACCCGAGGGCCAATCTGATGGACTGGCCCAGTAACCCGGACTGGAGGGGGAGGAACAGGTAGGCGGCAGACAGGTGGGAAGGATCGGGCAGATCCAAAATTAAACAGTTTCCTACTCAAAAAGAGAGAAAAAAAAATAATAATTTTGATTAAGAAGAAATAAAGCAAAATTCGAAAAAGGACTGTCCAATCCCACCGAGTGCCGAAGGTGATGCAGAAAGCAATTGCGAACCTTCGGTGCTCAGACTGCAGGAAATCGGAAAAGAAGTATCTTTACAAACTCAGAGTAGGAGTAGGTGGCAAAAAGAAAAAAATGCCAATGCCGTTTTTTTTTTTTTTGAAAAAAAGAACGGAGTTTGCAGACCTACGCAGTGAAAGTGTAGAGGGACAGTTTCGGAAAAAAGAATCACGAAATTATCAAAATGCAGACATTAATCAATTAAACAAGGTAAAAAATTTCGGGAAAAGAATTCTCAGAATGAAAAAAAAAAAATAAAAAAAATTCTCGGAAACCAAATTTTGCGGAAAAATCATTTTTCGGAAACGAAGAAGAATCTCTCGAAGAATTTTCTCGGAAAAAATAAATAATTTCTCGGGAAAAAAAAAAAGTTTCTCGGAAAAAGAAATAATTTCTCGGAAAAAGAAATAATTCCAAGATTAAATAAACAATTGCCAAATAATCAATCAACCTAATTAATCAATCAATCAATCAATCAATCAATCAATCAATCAATCAATCAATCAACCGGTCAATCTTAGATGATTGCTGGTTGATTGATCGATTGTTCGATCAACCTCCTGATTGACTGATCAATCAATCGAAGATTGATTRGTGGCAAACCGCCAATCCAATCAATCAATCGATTGATTGGTTGCTGCCAAGATTCATCGCACTAGCTCCGATACCACTTGTGGCATATCAGAAAGTGAAATGCACTGAGAGCCTAGGATCTAGCAATGACGAAAGTGGCAACAACCAGCAGCATAGATGCAACATTCACAAGG